TTTTTTTTTTTTTTTTTTGATTATATAATGTTTCAGAGTTATAATAATAATGATCAAAATTACATCTTTCCGATGATTTACTGTATTTCGAAATGCTCATCAGTGAAAGACACGTTATTTTAATTTGTTAAATCACGATATTTGGCATATACAGAAATATATTTCGTAGAATATATTGATCGCTATAATAGGATTAAATTTTTCTTGATGATTTTAAAATCCTTTTCCTTCCCATGATAAAAATTTCATCGGCGTCAGCATTATAAATCACAGCTTTTAACACTTTATCGTTGAATGTCTTGATAATGAAACTTCTTCACAAAAAATAGCTATAACGGTGAAAACAATTAGAATTAATCGGGTAATAAAAATTTATCGTCTGCTCGAATAGAAATTTTCATGATTTTTTACGCAACCGCGCAACCACTTAAATTTTCATCATCGAGAATTAGTCGACTCTAAAATCATCAGTAATTACTAATTTTTATTATTGATTTAGCAATATCTTTTCTATACATCCACATGAGAAACGTGTGCGAATTTATTTTGATAAGAATTTCGGCATCGCTACCGTTAATATGCAAATGATTGCTGTTCGTTTCGAGTCGTCGAAGGTATCGCTCGAAGCGGACATCTTACGAATATTATCACACGCGTGTTCTATGGTCATTCGTATTATTTTTCATCCTATACAACTTCTCTACGTAATGAGACTATACGATATATATTTAAAAGTTATATATCTGTTAATTCGAGAGAGTCAAATCTCTGTTAATTAAGAGAGAACAACGTTTTTTTTTTGCCGGTAATTATCGATACATAGACTCCGTGATTTTGCGAGGGTTAACTCGCGGCATAGCACATGTTCGTTTACACCGTATTTCTTTCTCGCGAAGAAATTCGTAAACGCATCACACTACAAGAGAGTTCGGAGGTCAGAGTAAATATTCTCTCTTCATGTAAAGCAACACCTAACCGCTTGCGCATTCTTTCGGGAACGCTGAATAAGATATGTTTCTATCGAAATATGATTTTTTTGATATGACTTTAGTTTGAATTAAGTGATTGAGACACGGTACTTCGTGACTTCGCTAGACTCTCCTCCGTTTCCCTCCGTCGAGTCTCTCTCGTACAGGCTTCTGCTACTTGTTGGAAACCGAGGAACAACGGATGCGTCGCGCATTGATGTCGATCTTCAAGCTCACCCCTGGCCATTCTTCGTGGCTCTCGCGAGATGAATACCTGTTAGACTTTGAGACTGTAGGATCGTTGCTGTCAGCTATCGCCAATGAACGTCGTTTTCCGAAGTGCGAAAAACGCTAAAGCTACGAAAACGCTAAAGAGTGGAGGCCGTACGGAGATTTGGTGCGATCGCCCGCTTTTGTATCTTCGTCTGCTAGATCAACCCCGTAGTTGCTCGAGGTGTTGTCTTCCTCTGTAATGAGCGTAACAAGATCAAACGATTGGCAAACATTAACCTGTGATTTGGCAAATTTATATCTTCTCGCTGCTCCGATATTTGAAAAGTCAATCTACATTCTGGTTAGCGACGCATTATATCAAAAACTAAATGGAAAACAGCTAAAGGAGATTCTTCCAGGATTTAACGTACAATTGTGATGAAAAGCTTTTATACTTTTGCCAGGTTTATTGCTCCCTGCGCGGAAGATAAGATAAATTAAAATATTACGTGGAGGGAGAAGAATAACATTAAACGTCCTTAATGATTTACGGCCTTCCTCGGTTTGGAAAAGTCCTCTTTACACTTCTAAAATATGCATTATATGACTGTAGTATTTCACAAAACATTATTGCTCCAGTACTTCATTTTTATATTACCGTAAATTTCTTTGATATATGTATTAGTCAATGCGAAAAACTCGTTGGACATTTATATTTCCAGATCTGAGTATTAATGATATTAAATTATAGAAATCCAGCGTTACAAAGCGATAATGCGTAATTTATAGCAAGCTGCTTTTAACACTTTGTAAACGATCGTAAAATTAACGCGCATAAAATACCGAGAATGCGCATATCTCCCGCAATAAGCAAATCGTAAATAATTATGTCATAAAGTGAATTATTCGCATAAAACGCGCAGTTGAAAGCACTACGGATGGAAGCAGAACTAGCTCTTCCTGTTTCCATACAACGTGCAACAGGTTTCTGCATGTACGTAATCTAGCAGAGGCTACGAAGAAGGGATGGGAAGTTTAGTGATGTCGCCTAGAAGTGTGATAGCATTAGGCGAAGTTTGCTTTCATTAATTTCATCATTCTCGTTATCGATGACGGTGTACTTCGACGAAAAATAAAGAAAATAATGATATCTTTACTAGCACGATTTATTCAGATTAATACTTCGAAGTCGCGAATATCCGTAATCGTTACATTCGCGTAGAATTTCTCCTTAAAATTATTCATCGGCGAGTTATTCATCGGCGAGTTATTCATCGTTAAATTAGATCAATGCTAGATCGTGACTCGAGGCACGGTTAGACCGTTAAATTCTAGAAATTTACGTTCCTATTCCTTCTCTGTGCTCTCATGATCTCACAGTTGAAAGCATTTAACAGGCTCGTGTGTGGGCGCGCACCGACTCACGCGAACGCAAATTCCATGTTGGATTATAATATCAGAGTCCGGTCGGCGTTCACGGCACGACTGGCCCACATTTCGCGGAGAAATAAATACGTGTCTAGACCGTCACGTATCGCGCTTTATTGGGGGTTTTTTTTTCAATAAGATTTCTGTTTTCTGTATGGAATATGTATATTCACATCGATTTGCCTATCTTTCATTATCATCGGATCGTTCTGTGCCGGCTGAAGATCGAGGTCGACTTCCTGGCAATATTCCATATTCTCGTTCACAAATCCAGATATCTTGGCGGTTCGCCAAGTCGGATTTCGTTGTGCGTCGGGCGACGTTACGTTAGGTTCTTTTTTTTTATTAACTGTTAACTCACCGATATAAAGAGGAGCCGTGTCGTAAGCGTTGCAGGGACCCGCGTGCCGCGTCTCGAGAACGAAGCCGGTAACGCACGCATCCTTGATGATGTGACACCAGCTGGGATAGGTGATATTGTTTGTGGCGCACAACATGGTCGTCGACGGATCTCGGTCTCGATCTCTGTCGCGGTGCGCCCGATTCCGGACGCGCTCCCGCTTCCGGGGACAACGATAGGTGCAGGTCACGCAACGCGGTCGTCCAGACTTCATTTCGGACAAACAAGTTTGGCCTTCTCGACAGCGTATTTTAGTACAGTCTGCGTTCTCTAAAATCAAGCAACAAGACGATTTTGAGTCAATACATATAGTTTATACAGCGCCTTGAAAATCGAATTTATAACTATACATTTGTATCAATCAGATACAAAGTCGTGTTCACTTCTGTCATCACATATATCTTGTTTGTCAAAATATATTTTGTTTATCAAAATATATGTGATGGTAGAAATGAACACGACTTTATATCTGATTGATACAAATGAATAGTTATAAATTGCATTTGTTTGTCAAAATATATGTGATGATAAAAACAGATGGGATATTTGCAAATAGTTATTTTCTGACATGTATTCCGCTCTTTTTAACGTATATTGTCAGTTGTCTCGCGATCCTTCAAATATCTCTCGAGAAGAGACATCTCCGAAAATAATTGCCTCAAAATTTTAGAAGCAAACTTCTCCGCTAGACTTGCGTATTTTCGTATCTACGATGACACACGCGGCAGAGAAACGAGAGAAGAGACTAGATCGTTAAATTAAATCTACTCTATCTCTGTCACTTGGCAATTTCGTACGTTGACTCGTTTGCAGAGACGTAGTATCATCGTAATAATATGTCATTACATCAACATCTAGGTCGATGACCTAGTTCTAGCTGGCAGAGGAAAGAGAGGAAAAAAATCATGTTTATTTGTAATGCCTACTTATATTTATTTTTTTTTTTACAATTATTTTATCGAAAATTGTTACGGAAAGTTACGGATAGGCGAAGTAAGAAGCTTCATCATTTAGACATGTGCTGAATACGTTCTTACAATTAATTGCAATAAATAAGTATGCAACAAAATAATTAAATAAAAATTTGAATTTTGACACTTTCACTTAAAACTAATGCAATCGTTTCAAAATTAATTTTGTCACATACTTTGTCCTCTGATATTTTTATCAACTCTATCTTATTTAATTATTAAAATATTATTCAAAGAATGAGGCATCTAATATGTAATTTATTTGATTATTAACAAGAAATGTGTGTGTGTGTGTGTGTGTGTGTGTGTGTGTGTATATATTTAACACGTGTGACATTTTAGATAACGTAGCATTCTGCCATATGGCGATCAGATTAGATGAATATTAAATGATTCACAACTGTGTGTAATGCGATCCTCATTGTTGGATTGCTTAGACATCATATAGAATTGCGCTTATTTATAATACAAGCTTGCAGGAAGGTGAGTTAGCGTATCACGATGCTAAATTGTGAGATATTCGATAATAACGTCGTAATTGTAGAAGCTTTAAAAGAGTTCCACGAAAATGTGAGGCAGAATTGCTAGATATTTTATTGGAATTAAAATCACGCGATAATACAACATCCCATTAAAAATTATAACTATTGCAAGCTCAACATTCTTATAAATAACAAAGTTACCAATATATTTAACGTATGTCTAAATCACAAACATATTATGTACATTCGATTTAATATTTAATGATTTCACTCTCACTCGACGAAATTATCGTTTGATGCTTAATTGCCGAGTTATCTAAAATTGAAAACGAGGGAGGTCGCAAAGTTGTCAACAATGTAACTTTGGTTAATTACAGTGAGTGTCACCGATGAATAATAAATAAGCGTTTTCAATTACGTTAATAACAACTCGCGAAAACCGACATCACTCCGACTTACCATGGAACTCAATCGTGAAGTTTAATAAGGGAAGAGAAGTAACGCCGACGATTACGCAATGCCATGTGTGCGAGAGGGTCATTGGTCATTCAACCTAACGTGGCATTGACATAACGTCGTCAACGCTTATTGAACCACAACAATTTAAATGATCCGTCATTAGGTTACGCATCGCGCGCCCGATGAAGTAATGTTACTTTGGGAGTCACGTGACGCGCCTTCTCTTCCCCTACGCCAATCTTAGCTAAATTATTATTAAATTAAACGACAACGATACATCGAATGGATATACTTGTACACGCGCAGCGCAAAACAGCGTTCAACGAATAGCTTTGTTTAATTACATTAAGACATCTATTTAGTATGACATCACAGCGTCTATTGCGTCTCGAGGCGGAATACACGATGAGGTCAAGAACGCTCGGTTTATGACACAAACAACATTTTTCTCCGTGGCTCTTGATGACTCTAATAACGTTGTTAGTTACAATATATTCTAGTCGGTTTTTAAAATACTCACGCGCGGCATCAGCAAACGTCCGCGCCCTCCCGAGATGTTAAAATTCGGTTCAACCTTACGGCATTATTGATTCCGTCTGTATATTTATGGCGAGGAACGACGATTTTGGAAAACGCGAAATCGCGCCACAATCAGCGGAATGAGCGGATGATCGGCGATGCAACGCGACGCCACGTATAACGGCAGTATCACGACGATATTTACCCTTCCCGATAAAAATGTTGTCCTTCTATGCCATTATCCACTTCCGTCTTGGTCGACGGGCATAATTTGCCATGCGACAACCGGATAATTCTCATCGCACCGCGTCATCCGCAGGTCAGCGCGGCGCGTAAAAACCGCGCGCGCGCGCGCGCGTCAAGTATTGACAGATGAAAAACGATGTCAATAT